AATAGTAATTCATTTAAGAAAATCTATCACTACCAACAAAAATGCAAGAGGATATTGGAAGCAAAGTAGACGTTCTTATCTTTATATTTCTAAATTTTTGTGACTAGACTTTACCTTTAGTATGTTGGCTTCTAGTGTCCTTGGAAATGAGTTTGTCCTCCTGTAAAAGACAGCGTGGAACAATTAACTCTTAAATTGTTACCCTGAAAACATATAATGTCTTGCTACTCTTTAATGGTTAGAGTCCCAAGGATAAATGCATAAGTCCCTGGACTCACTGTATGGTTGGCAGTCAACGTTGTTGTTGGCTGCCATCAAGTCAGTCCCAGGCTCATGGCAACCCCATGCACAACGGAACAAAATGCTGCCCAGTCTTGTGTCATCTCCATGATTGGCTGTTGATCAGACCGTTGTGATACATAGAATTTTCATTGACTGAGTTTTGGAAGTAGATTGCCAGGCCTCTCTTCCTAGTCTGCTTTGTCTGGAAGCTCTGCTGAAATCTGTTCAGCATCCTAGGAACACACAAGCCTCCACCGATAGGCTGGTGGTGGGTGTGCTTGAGGTGCATTGGCCAATAATCAAATCGTGTCTCTGACAGGGAAGGCAAGAGTTCTACCTCTGAAAAATACGTATGAATACATGTGCCACTGCTGCCAGTGAAAGATGCAGTGGCCTGGATAGTATTTGGAATAAAAACACTTGGATTTCAAATCCAATCTTGCCTCTTATTGCTGTGAAATTTGGGAAAAGGCATTTAGTGTATTACAAATCTGCAATTTTTCATCTTTATATTAAGGAAAATACTTATGCAATTCACCTCATTGAGCTAGTATGAAGATCAACATACAAGGTCATGTACATGAAAGCAATCAAGCAGGTGGATCATGTGGATGCCTATGCGGTATTCCACTTCCACCGCTTGCTGCCTGTGAGAACTGGGCAAGTCACTTAACCTTCTGAGCCTCAGTTTCTTCATCTGTTAAATGGAAATAACAAAAGTACTGATATCTCATGAGCGGGGAGGATTACCTGAGATGCACCATGTAATGTGCCTTGCAAAGGATGTGGCACCAATCAAG